CCCCAAACCCTAAACCCTACCACCACAAAGTCCGACACCGCAACTGCCAGCCCGACCTTTCGCGTCAGGCACCAGCCGCGGGAAGCGTAGACAGGTAGACCACGGGTGGGCATGATTTTGAAGCTAGCCCGAAACCCGAAACCCGAATACTGCGACGGTTTAAGGATATTGGGGTTTAGGGTTTAGGGTCAAGGGTTTAACGGTATTGGGCTTGAGGCAGACCTCAAGGTCAAAGCCTAAACGCTGTTGCATTGAGCTTCTGGGTCTCTTGGATGACAAACTGTCGTGCATGATTACAACATCATGTTATGTTTTAGTAGGCTACGAATGCAGCATCTCCTAATGGTTCCGCACCATGGTTGCTCACAATCAGGCCGACTTCTGATCAGACTATACAGAGAGGTCAGGACGAATCCCTTCAGGTGTTAAGCAAAGGCAAAAACTCCAGCAGGTTTTGAGAGTGCCCACCCGCTTTGCCGCAGGGTTGTTGCTGCCGGAGTGCTCTCGTAGCAGTGGGAGACGCAGAGGCAATCACGCGAGGCCTGAGCCCTGAAGCTTGACACCCCAACTTCAAGACGAGCTGAGCTGACTTTGATGAGGACCAAACCAGCAAACCGCCAAGCCCTTAGCCCGAAACCCTACATTCTCTAGAAACCTTACCCTTAATATAAGGAACCCTGTCCCCCTTAAGACCAGACCCCCCAAAACCCGAAACCTTGCCCAACCGACCCTGGAGAGCGATCTCCTGCAAACCCTAAACCCGAAACCCGGATCCACCTTCCGGCCCAAACGTCTATCCCAAGATGCCATCCGATCCTAGGGTTCAGGGGGAGTTTAAGAGGTTTGGGTCTCCAGGTTAACGGTTTAGGGAGACCTGGGTTTAGATAGTATGAGGTTTGGAGTGGGGATTTCAGTGTCTACCTGAAATAGTTTGGGCAACGGCCTGTGTCGACAGCACATCCTGCCGCAGCAACCCAGTCTTTTGGCACAAGCCCCTTACCTCGACTTGTTCAGGAGCCGCGCGAGACAAGAGTGTTCCCCAAATGCCTGGATTTGGTTGGTTCCTAAACCCTAAACCGGTTGTGGGGCTCGAAAATGTCCATTGCTGGCCATGAGCGGTTTTGGGCATAGGAGTTCAGACATCGAGAAGGCGGCAAAGGAGACTGGAGTGCTCCAACTCCACAAGAGTTTTAGGAGGTTGGGTTGAAGAAGATGGGCCTTTTTTGTGTCACCGACACAACCTCCCATGCATGAGCGCTTGCTTCAGTTTATGCCGCTGCAGCCTTATGAACAGCTAGAAACAGCTTAGAGCAGGCGGATGATACTCGCACACCGCAGCCCTTGAGCCTGAACCCCAAACTGCTCAGTGTCTCCCAAAGCTGGAGTCACAGACATCAAGAGACCATCACGGATGGCAGATAAACTGAGCAGACCCTGCATGTGGTAGGCGAAGCGACATGCACATGGCACAGCCAAAGCCGGATCTTGCCCGCAGCGCATGGACGGCAACTGCAATGCAAGGAAATGATTCGACTGCTGGACCCGATCTGATTGTTGGAGATGGAGGTTTGGACGGCGGTCCAATGCTGGGTGTGGCGCCCCTCGTCCACTGGATAAGTTTGAGCCCTCCTCGCCCGCTAATATAGGAGCCTGAATAATTACCAATACTAATTTGGGGTTATTTGTTACAATTATAGTATAAAGGCCCCAGAACCCTATTCTAATTATTTAGGCCCCTATATTATGCATTTTAGTCGAGATTTGCTGCGGTTTGCAACGCTGGGCATGTTGCAGCAGCTGTCCAATTGAGGCCCCATGATCTGGACACCTCACGGATGAAGATGCCGTTCCCGGAGCTCACACATTCAATTATGCCTTGCTCTCAATACGGGTACGTGTCGCACAGCGACCGGGCGTCCTTCGTTAGATGTGCTCTTTCGGAAGCAGACATTTACATCGAACATCTCCCTGAAAAACAAGCAGTTCGCGGTATACTCCACGAAATGCCGTGTGCGGGATGCCGTGTGCGAGGCCTTTCTATTCGGGCAGGTACTGTGGGTTGACACAGGAAGCGAAACTTTCGTAGTTAGCAGGGCCCATGGAATCGATTACCGCTTCTAGGCGAGGCACCTAGCTCGGTGAGGCCCTACCCTACCGTGTAAGTTCAGAGGTGCATCTGGCTTTGGACTTTAGGACTTTAGGAGTGCTGCAAGCTGCAAGAGCAGAGACGATGTCCACACAGAACATCACAGAACCCAAGCCCAAGGTCTGTAGAAAGTCTGGGTCATCAGAAGCCACATGCACGCAACAAGCCCAGTTGTAGTGTACACTCTTTTCTCTTTGCTGTAGTACTCGAAGTTGCGGCCCTGATGAAAAGCTGTTGCAACTCCGAATGTCTGACAAGCCCTTGAGCAAGCACCAAAAAAATGTCTTTATTAAATTATTATGCGTTTAACTCTTACGGCCTCTATACCAAACAGCCCTTAAATTGACCCGGGAAGGAAGCCTTAAAGAAGCGTCTAAGTATGGTCTCCCTTATCGTCTCTCTGAGGGGACCCCTTTTTGGTATCCCTTGCAGTAGCTCTTTGTCGTAACCCTTTCAGGGAAGCCCATATGGCATCCCCGACAGAGCCCCTAGAGTCTTCACAAGAACCTTGTTTCAGGAACCCTAAACCCTACACCCTAAACCCTAAACCCTAAACCCTAATCCCTAAACCCTGAACCCTGAACCCTAAATCCAAATCTAACTCTTAAAAGGCCCTCTTGGTTCTTAGACTACGCTAATGCAAGAGTTACCGGCTCCTCTATGCTTATAGGTTGCCCTTTCGTCCGCTTCTCGGAGGAAGCCTGACAGGAACCCTCGTTTAGGGTTTAGGGTTTAGGGTTTAGGGGTTTAGGGTTTAGGGTTTAGGGTTTAGGGTTTAGGGTTTAGGGTCAGGGTTTAGGGTTTAGGGTTTAGGGTTTAGACTATCCTTCGTCGTATGCCTTCTAGGATCCCTGTAAGTATGCCGTATAGCAGTTCTTTGGTACCCCTTTTATCGTTGCCATTTAGTGGAACTTCTCGAAGCAGGCGCTTCTGGAACCTCCAGAAGAACCCTGTCAAGGAACCCTATTGTACTTCTTGAGGCCCCTGTACTAAAACTTTTGAGGCCATGAACCCTAAATCCTTAAACCCTAAACCGATAAAGCCCCAAACTCTCAAACCCCCTAAAGCCTGAAGCCTGAACCCTAAACCCTGAACCCTAGACCCTGAACCCCGGAACCTGAACCTCTAAACCGGAAACAGAAACCCTGAACCCTAAACCCGCGTGCGGAGTGAGAGGGAGAGCACATGTCCACTGAAAAAAACCCTACGATAGGGGCCTGAATAATGACCTATACTATTTTGGGGGTTCCTTATTTAATATATACAGTATAATCTATCAGGCCCCCAAACCCTGCTCATAGTAACCCTTTAAGGAACCCTTGAAAGGAGCCCCACAACCCTAAACCCTAAAGCCTAAACCCTAAACCCTAAACCCTAAACCCTAAACCCTAAACCCTAGTCTAATCATGAAAAGGCCTCTGCATTAAGCCGGCTCGGAGCGCCCGAGCCTCGGAGTGCGGGACGCGTTGTAGGGCCTGTTCAGGGTTTAGGGTTGCGGGCTTTTGGGGTTGTACTTAAAGGATCATGGGACTTAGTATGTAGGGTTATAATTCAGGTAGCTATACTTATAACCCCAATTAATGGACTTATAACCTTACTTACTAAGTCCCATGATCCTCCAAGTAGGGTTTCGGGGTTGTGGGGTTCTGGGTTTTGGGGTTATGGGGTTTAGGGTGTAGGGTTTAGGGTTCCGGGCTTAGGGGTGATAGGGTGTAGGGTTTAGGGTTCCGGGTTTAGGGGTTAGGGTTGCGGGTTTTAGGGTTTAGGCGGTCGGTTGTCAATAGCCGTCGAAATAGCCTTGTTCAAGTTGTTGCTAGAGGGCCAGAGTGAGTGAGCTATCCATCAACCCCCCCCCCCCCCCCCCCNNTGGGTAGTTCTTTGAATTAGGGTCCCTTTTGGGGTCCTTTTCTATAAGGGTGCCGTACTAAATTTGGGACCTAAAAAGGGACCCTAATTTAGAAAACTACCCAGTTAGAGGTTTCCGCCCGCCAGATACTTTCTATTTCCATCAGGTACCCTGTAAGCCAGACATGTCGTCTCGGTCCGTTCAAGTTTCCACCTTGTAAAAGTGTAAAATGAAGCTTTGCCCTTTGTCTTCGTGCCCCCCGTCGGCCTGCTTGTGGGCTTTTGGCTGTGCGGCTTCGCTCTCCGAGGTTTCACGGCTACATCGCAGCATGGAAGGCCCACATGGAGTTCCTGGAGGCGCTGCTCCGTGCAGGTGCCCTAACTCCGTCAAAACCCACTTTACTTGTAGCAGCCGGCAACAGCAATCGTTCGGAGCATGTTACATCTCAGGCGCATCAGACCTGCAGGCAGCCACTGAAGCTTTCAAGATCTTGAGCACAACATCGTCGCGCGATCAGCGGCCGTTCTGAAATGAGCCCTGCCCTTGGTACTCATGGGGGCGTGGAGCACGAAGTTATTGGGGACGGTGGTGTCACCTGAGAACTGTCAGAGATTGGGCCGTTGATGCGCTTGACCATCGATACTACCTGCTACTACTCGCAGCTGTCTGCAAAACCTAAACCCTAAACCCTAAACCCTAAACCCTAAACCCTAAAGTCTTTGACGCCATGGCGTTGAAGCTTCTTGCTGTGGCCTGTTCGGCCTGCATAGGCTGCGTCCATTCTGTCCGGTCGACCTCCACCTACCACCTCAAGACGGCAGCGTCAAAATACGTCAAGAGCATGGAGGAGACGGCACTGACGAAGATAGACAAGTAAGGCGAAGTGCCTGGAATGAATTCGCAGGACATCACTGCCTTTCTGACGGCCTTCAACGATGAGGTGCTCGAACCGGAGTTGGCCGCAGAGGGCTTTAGTCGCAGAGTGACGGCCACGCAGGCGACGGTGGTCCTGGGAGACTTGCATGGACAGCTGTTCAACTTGCTCGCCTTCCTCCGTCACCTCCATCAAAAAGTGGACGTGACACACCTCTCCCTTCTTCCCGCATCCAAGCTTTTCATCTGCGACCCAAAGCTGCAGTCTTCCTGGGCGATTACGTTGATCGTGGTGAACGAAGTGTGGAGACCGTCATGCTCCTGTTCGCCTACAAGGCATTATGCCCTTCCGGTATAATCCTGCTCCAAGGCAACCACGAGGCCTCGAGCACAAATGACAGATACGGCTTCAGCAAGGAGGTCGAGTATAAGCTGGACAAGCGCTCGCTGCACTCGGGGAAATCGATGCTTTGGAGTCACTTCAACGACGCGTTTTGGAAGCTACCCTTCGTGGCCGGCGCCAAGGGGATGTTCATGGCAACTCATGGGGGCATCTCCCCAAAGCTCGTGAAGGCATGCTGGAGCAAAAGAGGTCACTTCCGGTCTTGTTTAGGCTTCAACACGGATATTGGGTCGGAGATGGTGTGGTCAGACCCCCACAAGGGAAGCGGATGGGCGAGATCTCAGCGCGGCGGTGAAATCTACAATTCCGGAAGGGATATTGCCTCCAAATTCTTGTGGTCGAACGGATTGAAGAGGCTGCTTCGAGGTCACGAGCAAATGGCAAAAGGGATTAGCACTCTTCCGCTTGACGCGGGTGGAGAGTCTCGGTGGCACGTTCTGAAACTTGCTAGCTTCCCTTGCGTTCCCCCGAAGTCACATCTCACCAGTATTTTGGAAGCCTACAATTTTGCCGAGGAATACTTTGTGCATACCATCTTCTCAGCGGCCGACTACGTCGGGACGTTTTGTGTCGACAAAACAAACAGCCACCCCTTGCGGCTTCCAGCGTGGGATCCGGAGATGTTCAATGGAGGTGGCCACAGTAATTTTGTTTTTAGTAGTTGTCGTCGTCGTCGCCGTCGTAGTAGTAGTAGTAGTAGTAGTAGTAGTAGTAGTGGTAGTAGCAGCAGCAGTAGTAGTAGTAGCAGCACCAGCAGCAGCAGCAGGAGTAGTAGCAGTAGTAGTAGTAGTAGTAGTAGTAGTAGTAGTCGTAGTAGTAGCAGGCGTAGTAGTCGTAGTAGTCGTAGTAGTCGCAGTCGTAGTAGTAGTCGTCGTC